CTGTATGACCTCCCTACAATGCCTGTGCATGCTCCTGATAAGGTGGCCGATGGTCTCCTGAGGGATCTCCTCCCAGACCTGGACTAAAGCATCTGCCAACTCCTGCAACGTGACGTTCGTGGATGGAGCGAGACATGATGTCCCAGATGTGCTCAATTGGATTCAGGTCTGGGAACAGGTGGGTCAGTCCATAGCATCAATGCCTTCGTCTTGCAGGAACTGCTGACACACTCCAGCCACATGAGGTCTAGCATTGTCTTGCATTAGGAGGAAGCCAGGGCCAACCGCACCAGCATATGGTCTCACAAGAGGTCTGAGGATCTCATCTCAGTACCTAATGGCAGTCAGGCTACTTCTGGCAAGCACATTGAGGGATGTGCGGCCCCCCAAAGAAATGCCATCCCACACCATTACTGACCCACTGCCAAACCGGTCATGCTGGAGGATGTTGCAGGCAGCAGAACGTTCTCCACGGCGTCTCCAGACTCTGTCACGTCTGTCACATGTGCTCAGTGTGAACCTGCTTTCATCTGTGAAGAGCACAGGGCACCAGTGGCGAATTTGCCAATCTTGGTGTTCTCTGGCAAATGCCAAACGTCCTGCACGGTGTTGGGCTGTAAGCACAACCCCCACCTGTGGATGTCGGGCCCTCATACCACCCTCATGGGGTCTGTTTCTGACCGTTTGAGCAGACACATCGACATTTGTGGCCTGCTGGAGGTCATTTTGCAGGACTCTGGCAGTGCTCCTCCTATTCCTCCTTGCACAAAGGTAGAGGTAGCGGTCCTGCTGCTGGGTTGTTGCCCTCCTGCGGCCTCCTCCACGTCTCCTGATGTACTGGCCTGTCTCCTGGTAGTGCCTCCATGCTCTGGATACTACGCTGACAGACACAGCAAACCTTCTTGCCACAGCTCGCATTGATGTGCCATCCTGGATGAGCTGCACTACCTGAGCCACTTGTGTGGGTTGTAGACTCCGTCTCATGCTACCACTTTAGTGAAAGCACCACCAGCATTCAAAAGTGACCAAAACATCAGCCAGGAAGCATAGGAACTGAGAAGTGGTCTGTGGTCACCACCTGCAGAACCACTCCTTTATTGGGGGTGTCTTGCTAATTGCCTATAATTTCCACCTGTTGTCTATCCCATTTGCAAAACAGCATGTGAACTTGATTGTCACTCAGTGTTGCTTCCTAAGTGGACAGTTTGATTTCACAGAAGTGACTGACTTGGAGTTACATTGTGTTGTTTAACCCCTTAAGGACACAGCTTCAGAAGCTTGTCTTACGCTTAATGACACAAGCAATTTTTGCATTTTCTTGCTGTATGCGTTCAACTGCAATTTGCATCTCTCTCGTTTATTGCACCGACACATATTATATACTGTTTTTTAAAGGACATAAAGGGCTTTAATTTGATGTAACATATATATATATAAATGCTTATTTATTATTTAAAAAATACAGAAAAATGCAAAAAAAAGAAAAATTTTGTGTTTTTTGTACAGTTTTTGCAATAATAATGTGTGCCTAATTAGTGCAGGTTAAAGAAAGTAATTAAAAATAAATTTATTTAGTTGTTCTGATTTACAAAATATATAATGTGTCTGGGATTTAAAGTTTTTTTTGGTAGTTACAGGTCATAAAGCACAAGGAGTAAAATAAACTTTTAATGTAGAGCGATTTTAGAATTTTGTATGTTTGTCTTGTAAGCTTAATAGCCATAAAAGAAAACAAAATTGCCACACAAAAGTATATATTTATATAAAGTAGACATCACAGGCTATTGTCCTAAGGTTTTTTTGACACTTTCTAAGTAGCCATTTCACCGCCAATCTCTGCTAAATATTGGAGTAAAATTTAGTTTTTTGGAGTTTTTGGCACACAAACTTATAACAAAGAACTTCCCATGTATATTTTGTAAAGTTGGTGTGTGCTATTCCTGTACAAAGTTTTATTTTGTGTTCAGTTACTTCTGCTGAGTACAACGATACCCCCATTGTATGTCTTTGGCACTATTTCGTGAAGCTACAGTGCCATATAGGAGACCTGTCCGTTTCAACATTTACAGTAGAATTTTGAGAGGCGGATTTAATGGGCCTATGCTTCAATTTGGGGTATTATAGCAGTTTGACTGTTCAAAAAAAACCCACAAAGGCCTACCATTTATAAAAGTAGACACTCCAGGGTATCTCATATGGTGCATATTGTGCCTTAACATGCCCCCATTTTTTCACCAATATATGCCAAAGTATGTGGTAAAAAATAATTTTGGGCATTTTTTACATACGGATTACATTTTTGCTGGGCATTTTGTACATTTCATATGTGCCACTAAGTTCAAACCCCCAAATTATGCTCAGCTAAGTCTTCTGAGTAAAACAATATGCCCAATGTATGACCTAGACACTATTTTGTGAAGTTACACTGCTATAAAAGAGACGTAACAAGTTAAGGTTTTTAAGTGTGAATTTTCATGGAGGGTTTTGATGCGTCCGTGCCCACTTTGGAGCACTTGAGCAGGCTACATATTACAACTACACCATAAAGGCATACCATTTCTTAAAGAACACATCCCAGGGTATTTCAAAAGGCATATTTTGAACCTTAGCGTGGGATAATTTTTCCGCTAGCTTGTACCAAGTGTAATGGTAATAAGCGTTTTTTTGCCTTTTTGACACACAAAGTAAATTTGCGCAGTACATTTTGCAAATCTTATGTGTGCTACGACTGTATAATACTTCATATGTTGCTCAGCTATGTCGGCTGAGTACATCAATACCCCCGTATGTACCTTTGCCAGGTATATGTGGACATCGGAGGGGCACATTTGGGACACAGCCATTCCAGTTCATTTCAAACTTTAAATTTTTACACTGTTCCCATGTCCCATTTTAGAGTATTTTACCAGGCTATATAATCCAATTACACCATAAAGGCATACCATTTCTTAAAGAAGACATCCCGGGGTAATTCAAAAGGCATATTTTGAACCTTAGCGTGGGATAATTTTTCCGCTAGCTTGTACCAAGTGTAGTGGTAATAAGCATTTTTTCTGCCTTTTTGACACACAAAGTGAGTTTGCGCAGTATATTTTGCAAACCTTATGTGTACTACGACTGTATACTACTTCATATGTTGCTCAGCTATGTCGGCTGAGTACATCAATACCCCCGTATGTACCTTTGCCAGGTTTATGTGGACATTGAAGGGGCACATTTGAGACACAGCCATTCCATTTTTTTTAAACTTTGAATTTTTACGCTGTGTCCATGTCCCATTTTAGAGTATTTTAAAAGGCTATATAATCCAATTACACCATAAAGGCATACCATTTCTTAAAGAAGACATCCCGGGGTAATTCAAAAGGCCTATTTTGAACCTTAGCGTGGGATAATTTTTCCGCTAGCTTGTACCAAGTGTAGTGGTAATAAGCATTTTTTCTGCCTTTTTGACACACAAAGTGAGTTTGCGCAGTATATTTTGCAAACCTTATGTGTACTACGACTGTATACTACTTCATATGTTGTTCAGCTATGTCGCTGAGTACAGCAATACCCCCGTATGTACCTTTGCCAGGTATATGTGGACATTGAAGGGGCACATTTGAGACACAGCCATTCCAGTTTTTTCCAAACTTTGAATTTTTACGCTGTGTCCATGTCCCATTTTAGAGTATTTTACAAGGCTATATCATCCAATTACACCATAAAGGCATATCATTTCTTAAAGAAGACATCCCAGGGTAATTCAAAAGGCATATTTTGAACCTTAGCGTGGGATAATATTTCCGCTAGCTTGTACCAAGTGTAGTGGTAATGAGCATTTTTAAATGTATTTTTTTACTTTGTAAAACTTTTTTTACTTTGTAAAACCCATTTTTAAACTTTTTTTTTTTACTTATTAAATGTTTTACACTATCTTAACTTTTTTTACACTTTTAATTTTTTTTCTAAACTTTTCTTTTACCGTTAACCCCTAACTAGCAGTAAGCAGCACTAACCGTAAATTCCCCATTTTCCCATAACTCCCACCCACCCCAGCTAGCAAAATATTTAATTATAAAATATTTAAATTAATTAATTAAATAAATGGAACCCCTGAGGGTTAAAAAAAATAAATAAAAGTTAATCCTCAGGGGTTAAAAAAATTAGATCACAGTATAATACTGTGATCTGTATTTTGATCACTGTAGGCAGTGATCAGCTGGCAGGGAAGGGGTTAATTTTTATTTAGACTGGGTAAAGGGGGTGGTATTTTTTTTTTTTTTACTTAAACGTTACTAAAACATTTAAAAAAAAATTTTTTTTTACCTTTTTAAAGCTTATTTTAAAACTTTTTTTAACGTTAACCCCTAGTTAGCCTAACACCAAATTCCCCAATTCCCCACTAACTTCCACCCATCCCAGCTAGCTAAATATATAATTTTTAATATTTAAATTAATTAATAAAATAAATTTAACCCCTGAGGGTTAAAAAAAAAAATAATTAACCCTCAGGGGTTAAAAAAAAAAAAAATCAGATGACATTAAAATGTATACCCTGCCAATTGATCACTGTAGTCAGTGATCAATTGGCAGGGAAGGGGTTAATTTTATTAAAACAGGGGCAGGGGGGCTGGGATTTAACTTTAATTTTTTTTTTTTTTACACAGGGAAGCAGATCAGCACTGATCCGTCTCCCTGCACTTCACACAGAACCCGGAAGTGCAGGGAGGCGGAAGGTGAGTATGTGGAGCACATGTGCTCGCTCTGACATGCTGTCAGAGCGAGCACCGGTGCTGGGGCAGCCCGATCGGGTGCTCCCGGTCTGCCTCTAATGCAGAGGCAGACCGGAGCACCGTTAACCCCGCGATTGCCGCGATCGCGGCGATCTGGGATTAACTTAAGAAAATGACGGAAATTTTCCGTCAACGGTCCTTAACTGAAGGACAAGGTTGACGGAAAATTTCCGTCCACGGTCGGGAAGGGGTTAAGTGTCCCCTTTATTTTTTTGAGCAGTGTATATATATATATATATGCAATGTTTGCATTAAGGCACGGTGTATATATACATATACACCGTGCCTTACTGCAAACATTGCTCAGGTATTTTTTGAGGAACATGGAAAGGAGTTCAAGGTGTTGCCTTGACCTCAAAAAAATTTAAATCTCGATTTAATTGTGCATCTGTAAGATGAGTTGGAACAGCAAGTACAAACCATGGAGTCCTCACCTCGCAAGTTGTAGGAATTAAAGGAGCTGCTGCTAATGTCTTGGTGCCAAATACCACAAGACAGGTTCAGATGCCTTGTGGAGTCATTGCCTTGATGCATCAGAGCTGTTTCGGAACCACAATGGGGACACAATATTAGACAGGTGGTTTTAATGTTATGGTTGATCAGGGTATTTCAACTACTGCTGCTGTGTTCCAGGTCATTAACCTTAATCATTTTTCCTTTCCTTTTTTTTCTTTTCAACCACTTTATCCTGTTCCAGCCTTTTCTCACATTAAACATAAAATAACTGGCATACAGTCAACACTGATATTTATACACATTAAAATAGTGACATACATTGTGGTCAGTGGGTTCATAGCATGTCCACTTTCTGCCAGTGGAGACAGGCGAGATCTAAGATGGTGGGGTGCTAGACTCCGCCCCCTCGTTCTTCTTCATACGCTACACAAATACCATACTGTGTTCAAATTTTTAAGTTGTTATGTTGAAGAAGCAGACCCAAACAAGCTATTGGACAAAACGGGCACCATCCCAACTGCCTCTGTGAGTGGCCTGGCCATTTTCACAGACAGATCACAAGCAAAATGCCTCCACCAATAATATGACTGTGCTACAGTCATATCAGGAAGATTAGGTGCCTGGCACTGGTAAGGGAGAGGTACAGAACGTTGGAGGACCGGGAGTATTTCCCAGTATTTCCCAGGACACAGATTAATGTACAATTCTGTAGGGCAGTATGCAAAGATACTGCATGCAGTATTTAGAAACGACATGCTACAGGATACATTAATATGAATTCTACATTTTGCAACACCTTTTCATGAACTATGGGTTGAAGAGAGGTAACAGGCATTATAGTTATGTGGAGCGGGAAGGACAGTCACTAAATATGGTGGGGGGGGCGCAGAAAAATACTGGAGGGGGTGTGAAAAAAATTAACAAAAATACCCTTCTGCTTTTACATGCTACACAAAATGCTTATAAACAGTTGAACAGTTTACACAGATATACCACTATACAAAGTAAATCCATGCTATCCAAAGTACCGGTAAACATTGACATTCAGACACTGTTTGCACTCACATACTCACTGGTGCACACCTGTGTATTCACACATACTGATACTCCACTCAGCCACATTCACATCTGAGCTATGTACACCCATGTGCACACTTGTATTTCCATTGATACTACACACACACATATTCACAATATATTTGGACACATACAAATACATGGTTACATAAATTATATTTGTTTAAATAAAGCCAATGCTCCTTGAATAGTCATAGGTGAAACAAGGCCCCTTTCTATTTTCTTGCACCAGTACTCTTTGTTCACTAGTTCTGCCACTAGATTTGAGCAGGGCAGTTGGGGCACGAGCATATTAAACAATTTTCCTGTCACTCAAAAAGTAAAAATACTCAGCTACCCCAAAGTAAGTTGATAATACACAGCAGGTACACAAAAATGTACATCTATATGTGGCGCACCATATATCTGGTCAAAATAATTATTTTCCACTGTAATGGTTATGGTGACAGAGTGCCATGGTGCCATCCTATGGTAAGATGTTAGAGCAAAACAAAACTGCAATTATTGGCTGAGATCTTTAGCGGAGTATTGAGCATTGGCTCACTTTGCTCTATAGAGCAATCTGACAGCTCCTGCTGCAGAAGCCTGTATACTTCAGTTGCAGAACTGGAGCCTAGTGGGACTCATGTAAGTTGTCAGACTGTTAAACAAGTTTGACATTGGTGGGGTCATAATACACTGCTGGGCAAAGCGTTCCATGCACCTCACTTTTGGACCGAACGTTCGGGGAGGGCCTTTCAGTGATACACAGACAACGTGTTTCAAATTGGGCTACTACCAGTGTATTAAGGGTCAGGCAAACATATTTATAGACAGAAGTTACAGCAAAAGTAAGTGACAAGATTACATCAGCTAAACACGATATTGCTTATTTAGCAACCAACAACATGTATTTCTGTTACCGGAGGTTAAAAGGTTATTTATTTGATGATCTGCAATAGGTTTTATTTTTAAGCTGACATTTAACATTATTTCTAATAATATAGTCTTGTCCATTTACAGTAGTCACGTACTTCATTTTTAACCATTTCAGACATCTTACCATGGAACACTGCAAGAGACTCTTGGCAACATACCCAGGGGATGTGGTGCTTATGGTGTTCCTTTCAAGGCTGCTTTGGGTTCATGACCCAATAAACAGTTTCATGATAAATTCATCTCAAGTAAGATGTGATTTAACTCTGTTTTCTAAATCTTTGTTCTGACAGTGCTAATGCATATATCTGATTTAACTCCACGTGTTCTTGGAGGGGGCTGCTTGCCCACCTCCTACCTTCTGACTATGGCCCTGGGATATATGGCATTTGAAAACACTATTTGTGCCCTGTGACAAAACTGGAGATTGTGCACAAATATGACTATTGTCCATATTTTTTATGATTCCCTTTGTTTATTGCACTGTTCCCCATGTGTTTCATCATTTGGTCCGGCTGGATAGACTACCAGACAAATTGTGGAGTTACTGGGTGGCCACCATTTCATGTATCAGAGGCACATGGTGAGAACAATGGATGAAGCACATGGTGAGAACAATGGATGGCAGCCATTTTAACTCACAGACACTGTTTGGACTTTTCTACACGGTGCCATCTCGCCGGTATTTGGTGCACAAAGACATTGTGCAGTAGTTTTAAACTATACAACAGGGGACACATTATACAGTAATTATTTTTCATATAGCCTGTATATGTTCTGTGGAATCTGCATTAAACTGTATCTTCCAAACTACTGAACGGATCTGGGTGAATTTTGGATATGTGGTTCATCCAGATCCCCCGTTTCTGAGGATATACTTTTTATGGGGTTATTGCATGTTTTGGGCTCACTGTGATATGTTTTATAATACTGTATTTCTCTGCCTGTGATAATTATATTAACCATTGTGTTCAGTAATCATATCACAGGCAGAGGGGAGGATTTTGTGTGGGAGTGTCTGTGTGTATTGTACGGATTGATTGGTTGTATTTCAAAACCCTGTGGGCAGTACTATGTTTGTAGATTGTGAATAAAAGAGGCTGTATGTGCCAGTACAGTCAGTTCTGCTTGACCTCAAAATGAAGTGTCGTCTCGTTATTGGGGGAATTGGATTGTATGCTGATTGCCAGGAGTGTAAACTGATTGTATGCTTTTCCTGTTCAGCTGCTTACAGCATTCATATGCTTGAGAGCATTCGTATAGTTTTCCGGTTCGGTGGCTGTGGTGTCTGCTGCAGTGCTTGCAGTCCTCAGGAAGCGCTAGGAGCATCCTTCAACGGAGGTACCCAGTCGGGGTGCCAGGTGATCCGTTACAAACTATTTTCTTAAATCTCTGCTCTAACAATTTAAAAATAATAATAATAAGTTCAGCACACATGTTAATCATATTCAGAAGGTTCAAGCACTACTTACCAAAGGAGAACACTTTTGAAATTCAGCTGCACGCGGGGCACAACGTGCTAAACTCACTCCACTCTCTCTGTGACAGCAGTTGCTTTTGCACTGAGCACTTTGAAGACACAACTCTCCATGATCCTAAAGTAAAGTATGGTATAATAAAAAAGTTTAAAAAGCATGCAAGTGAAACAGTGAGTAAATCACTCTCAATCTGATATAATGGAGCAGGATTTGGAGCCTTGCATCCTGCAGATAAGAAGTAAAATCATTCTAAAGTGGTTTGACTACTTCTAATGGGGTACACCAGGGCACTCATGGAGCAATAAGCACTACAGGGTACTGAAGTGTTTGATGCTTGGTGTGTTTCTTTAATCCCTTAACGCCGTTATGGCATTCTATGCCGTCCCGCATTAAATGGGCTTTAAAGCTGTTGCGGCGGCATAGAACGCCATAATGGCTTTCAGCCCCAGGAGCTCCGGTGGACTTACCTCCGCCGTGATCCTCTTCTAGAGGGCTGCCTGACAGTCCAGGCAGCCCTCCCCCGGCAAATGAGGCCCCCGGGGGCCATGTAATCGCTCTCAAAGAGCTATCACATGGCCCCCTATAGCTAGCTGTGGATCTGCCAGCAGGGGGACTGTCTGAAATTTCAGACAGTCCCCCTGCTGGTGGGAAGTATTAAAAATAAAAAAAATAAACATGTTGAAATAAATTAAATGCATTTTTATATATATATAAAATATATATAATATATATGTAACGTCATACATAATGTATTTTAATATTAATATAAGTACATATATTAGCATTAAAATACACTTAGAATGACGTTACATATATATATATATATATATATATAATACATCTATATATATATATTTTATATTTATATATACACGTATAATTACAATAATAAATAAAATAATAAAATAAATAAAATATTTTTTAAAAATGTTTAAATAATATATACATATGTAATTTCATTCTAACTGTATTTTGTTATTAATACATATACTGGTAACAAAATACACTTAGGATGACATTCTATATCTATCTATATATAAAATACAAATAACCGCAAATTATATATATATATATATATATATATATATACACACATACACACACACACACACACAATTACATAAATAACTACATAAATAACTACATAAGTGTACACGTAGTCTTTAAATACATATATATGTATATATATATATATATATATTAACATTCTATGTGTATATTTAAGTAATATTTTAAATATTCTTTCTTTATTTAACACTAAAAACAACAAAAAAGAACTCATTATACATTATACAATCTTTAACATGCATTTAACAGCAATATTACCTAAAAGATTGCATTTAAGCTCTAATATCACCATTTTGAGTTATTCATCAATACAAATTTTT